AGTTCGGTTTGCTGGTCGATGTTGGTTTGCTGGACTACCTGGCGGAGGAGCTAGAGGCTGCTCCGGCTCTTCGGATCGGGGCACGTGTGGAAGAATAGTATGATGGTCGGAAGACTGTAGCGGTGGTGGCAACACCACTGTGCTAGATGGCTTGGAATCTTTGCCTTGACGTCTTTGCCTTTTCCATTTTGGGGCGGGTTCTGGTTGAGTGGGGTGTGGACGAAGTGGCTCCGAGGTGGGCTTTGATGGCACTTGGGGACCATGGTCTGGGCTTTGATGAGTCAGGCTACCCCGTGGACCAAGTGGCTCAGAGTCTTTATCTTGCCTTGGTGACGTGTGGGGATTATGCTCTGGGTGACTTGGTGCCAGATCAGAACGTAGAAGAGGTTGTTGTTGAAGAAAATGTGGGTTGTTTTCCTGGTTAGACATTGTTTTTTTGAAGATGCAATCAGAAACGAAGAAGACGGGGGAAAGGAGAAATAAGAAGAGAGTTGTGGAAAAGAGGATAACTTGAAGAGAAGCTCAAGGAGGAGGATTCATGGCGAGGCAAAGAATTAAACGTAAGTTGAGAATAAGAGGCAACTAGGACTAGCAAATGTGCAGGTTAGGTCGGGTTCAAGTTGGGTTAATTCGAGTAATGAATTATACGAGTTAAATCGTAAACAAGTTACAGGTTGAAAAAATCTAATTCTAATTTGATCTTACTAGACTATGGGTTAATCCGCGAGTTGATTTTATTTTCATTCTTTATAATTATTTTTATTAATTTTATTATATACAAATAAACTTATATATGTCTAAATCTAATTAAAATATTGTAACTCATTAACACTAAGTATTTTATAATCTTAACCACAAACATTTAAATAAAAAAAATATAAAGTTATAAATAATAGTAAGTTAATTAACAGTTTTAAACTTAAAATATTTAAATTTCTTAGAAAATAAAGTTTTAATTTTACAATTATCTTGAAACATTATCAATGAGTTTAAGCTCTTTTTTTATGATGAAATTGTTCTTCCAAAAACATCTTTCACTAAATTATTATGTTTATATCATAGCATAACATCTTTAATATTTTTAGTTGCATTGCCATTTAATTCATAATACTTAATAATTATATCAAACCTACATAATTTATAAAGAAAAAAGAAGAAATTATGATGAGTAAACACTCAAAATAAGTTTAAAACTATTTGAGTAATGGAAATAAGGTTGAAGAGTATGAATGAATGAAGAGAGTTACCAATAGAAAAATTAATTAAGAATAATAAGTATAATATTTTTAAAAATAATAATAAATAAGTAAATAAATAAAAACAAATCAACTCGTCAACCCGCAAATTAACCCTAACCCAACTTGTGACCTATACAGGTTGATATTATGGATTATCTATGGATTATGGGTTGAAACATATAAACCCTAACCCATTTTTACAAGTTGAGTTAAGGTCTGGTTAATTGAATTTTTGCCACCCTTAGAGGCAAGTAATCTTTGGTGATTCCCTTTTATAAGTGCCCCGTTAAGGTAGGTAGAATGCCTTCTGACTACAAAACTGATCCCAAATCCTAAATTAGATGCTTCGGCTTTGCAAATAATTTATAGGGATACCAATAATAGCTTGGCTAAATTGATATCCACTTACTTTAAAAAAAAAAAAAAAAATCAATTTAGAGTTAAGGTTAAGATGTTTTAACCTTTTATGTTGCCAAGCAACTAACTCCCAAATTTACTTATAAAAAAAAAAAGTTCATAGGCATAGAAATACTTTTGTCGATTGATGATGGATGTACATAGAGAGAATGCCATTTGTTGGTA